AAAAAACGACAGAGAAGTAGAATATCGGTCCATCATTATCAGTGACTAGGGATCTCTTCTGTTTTTCTTTTCTTTTTTTTTTATACTAAAAGGGAGAAAGAGAGAGAGAGAAAGAACATCGAAGAAAATGACTTGTCTATCCGTTATCATTCGATAGATCAAATTTCGTACTCATCAGAAAGCGGTGTATCCTCTTCGTTGCATTTCATGTTTACATTCGTTTCGTAACACATAGATGTAAATGTGTATGTATGCGAGCACCATTACTAGTCAATCAGAGAAAAAAAAGAAGAAGAAGAAGAAGAGGATATCTCTATATTTGACATTTGGTCAAAATCGAAGGTTGCTGTTACTTTTCTTCTTTTCATTGATTTTTTTTTGTTATCGCTATCAATCGAACAAAGGAGACATGTATTCAAATGTATGTATATGAACATTCTTTTTTCTTCTCTCATTTTTTTTAATCCCAATACTATTGCTGCCAATCTTCATTCACTTGTATATCCTTCTTTCTTTTTTTTTTCTTTTTTATGTATGTGAACGCACAAGCATTTTTCATCGATGAGGTTTTTTTGTTCGTTCTGATGATATACGACGGGAGACGAGGGAAAAACTGAATGTGTGTGTTCACTACTCCAAGATATGAGACGAAGACAGACATAAAGAAAGAAATGGGTAGACTCTCTCTCTCTCTCTCTCTTTTTTTATGTTTTTTTTCTGAACTTTCTGTCTCGAGCACAAAAAAGATAGACGATGACGACCGGCGAGGAAATATGAGGCAGCATCGACTGAGAATAGAAGTGAACGACAACGACAAAAGATGGATATAGAGATATGTGCTAGATGAGAAATGTTCATCTTTTTCTTGTGCTTCGTCTTTTTTCTTTGTGAACTATGCGACATATATATATTTATATATATATATATATAAACTATCCGCATTGATGAGAAAAAAGGATAGAATGAGAGAAACCTATATCCTCTTATTTTGAGTATGATAAAAATAAACTCGTGTTGTGATAGAGTTATATATATCCAAATAGAAAATGAAGAAAATTAGGTATGTAACAAAAGATGATGATAACCATCATCACATCATGAATATTTGTTGAAAAAAAATGTAATCAATATTTATAAGCGTACGACTTGTTAAATTGTTTGTTCGATATATATTTATCTTGGTCTGGTCTTTCGTGTTCACTACCATCATCATCATCATTCATTCATTCGAACGTGATACATATAAATAGTTGAGAACAAGAGAAAAATAAAAAAACATGAGAGAACAGGTTATCTTCTAACTTGAATTTAATATGCAGCACCAGCCGTATATGTTCGATAGGAGAGTAAGCAGATGGTACGTATAAAAAAAAAAGAAGAAAAATGTGCTATGTGCGTGTGTCATTTGTATGTATAGTAAAAAAAATCTATCAGAGAAGTAAGAGAATATCAAACTTTAAATAACTATTTTTAATGATTATTTCGAATAGTTTAAAAGGTCAGTATATAGTATAAATGAAAAACCAATTTTTATCTTATCTTTGTTCTTTTCACATATTGACGTTGAATGAGGACAAAAGGATGAGCTCTATTCTCATGTATATATCACGCAATTTGTCATCCGATGTCTCGTCAAGTAAATACTATAATGTATTGAAAAAAGAAGCGAGAGAGAGAGAGAGATACTTTTATTTGTATGCTTAAGATATTATGTTGTCTCTTCATGTCTTCTAGATTTCTTTTATTTGCGTGAGTGTGTATTTGTATATAAAACAATGGCTACATCTCTAGCTGATTTTCATCAAATGATAAAATTATTTGGTGCTGATACAGATGAAATGAATGTTCCAACAGTTACTGATGAACCTGAAGATGATGAAGATGATGATAATGAAACTGAATTACAACTTGATGAAGAATCTTCACCTATATCAAGTGGTGAAGAAGAAATAATTAAAGATGATCAACAACCAATATCAACTAAACCTATATCATCAGCTGCGGCTGCTGCACGTTTATCACGTTTAGCAAATCAACGTATGGATTCCAATCGTTTTTTAATATGTTCCGGAACAAATTCTTATAATACAATACGTAAAACAAAACATGAAGTACGTCGTTTTGCATTATATTTAGAAGATACATTCAATGAAAAAACTCCTATTGATGAATTAAAACCTGAACAATTATGTACATATTTAAAACATTATTTTGGTAATGTTCGTAAAGCTGATAATACAGAATATGAACCTGATACATTAAGAAGTTTTATGTTATCAATTGAACGTTATTTAAAATCTCGTAAATATTCATATAATATACTTGAATCACCTGTTTTTGCTCCATGTCGAGAAGTTATACAAGAAAAACGTGATACATGGGCTAAACCAATGAAAAATATAAGTAATTCAAAAGTTGAAGCATTTACATCCGAACATGAATTATTACTTCGTCAGATGAATATTATAACACGTGATACACCAGATGGTTTATTACTTGAATTATTAATAAATAATTCAAAATATTTTGATCAACGTGGTAATGAATCAACAATAAATCGTTCATTATTATGGGGTGATTTAGAAATTAAGACTGATACAGCAACATCAAATGAATATGTTGAATATAAACGTTCAACAACAAATTTACGTGCATATGCAAATCCATCACAACCAAATCAATGTCCTGTTGCTAGTTTACGTCTTATGATTTATCATCGTCCAACACAATGTTCAAATGCAGATGCACCATTTTATCTTGTACCACGAACAACAACTGATCAACGTGTTTGGTATAAAACAATACGTGCTGGACGTCATCGATTAGATTTATTAATTCAACAATCTATGCAAAAAGCAAATATAAGTGGAAAATTTTCATGTATGAGTTTACGTAAAGGTAAAATAAAAGGTTTACTTATTCCATCAACAAATTCTGAATTACTTGATCTATCATCATCAAATCCAACAAAAAAAATCAAACGAGAACAACAACAACAACAACAATCGATAACAAATTCATCTTCAGTTATAATTAAACCAATTGATACAATTCTTCCATTACAACCATCAGAAAATCATCATGATGATATACAATCACCAATATCATTAAATAATAAACGTAAATTAACATCAAATGATACATTTCATGCACTTTATTCAGCTGCACATTTAAAGTCTTCCCGACAATCAAAAATAAATCTTTTACGAAAATATCTTGAAGAAACACTTGGTCTTGTTGAATTTCTTACTTTATATGAATATTTAAGTCGAAATTCTTATATTAAATTACAAGGTACACCTATTGAACATTATGAACATATTTTACCTGTTTTACTTACATTACTTATGCTAGAAAATACTGCATAAAATTAATCGAGTTTTATTCCATATAGTCAATTATTATTCTCAAGTGAAATGATTATATATGTAGAAATGTTCTTCTAGTCGTTCTTATACTTCTTTTTTTTTTCTTTTTCTCGTTTTTGTTGTGTCATTCCAGTTTCCAAAAGTTTTTTTTTAAATGTTTACGTGTATGTGTGTTTATGAATGTTTTTGATTTTGTTTTTTTTTTCTTCTCGAAATGAAATATGTATCAGAGATGATAGATGGAGTTTAATAATATACATGTTATTGGCAAAAAATTGATAACAATATTATGATTTTTCCAATTTCGATTGATATTGATAGTGAGTTGTCAGGAGAATAATTAATCCGACACTCTTATAGTATGCTGTATGATTGAGTTGAAATTTGAATGACGGAAATGCTTATGGGATCCTTAGAGTTAGATCTAATCAGTAGCTTCATCATTTCGATTCTATCAATTGGCCGGATCTTTCGAGATCCGATTGGTATTATCGATTTATAAATATTCTTGGAGGAAAAAGTTGAAAATAATAGCTTATATATATATAATATTTAGATTGATATGATCGATTAGAGATATTTATTGTAATAACATTTTTGTCTAGGATGATTAGTAAAATATGTTAAAAATTCAATGCATCTCATCGATTAATACAAGTATAACATTGAAATTTGAATGTCATTATAGAACAAGAGTAGAAAATATCATAATCATATGTACAATTCAAAACTCTAAGGGATACATGACATGTCAATAGTAACACTGTTAACAGAATGTGTACTATTTTCAAGCAATTCATATATTAATTACGCAATTAATTAATTCTTGGATATTAGAGAAATTTAATGTAACTTTCAGCACATCAAATTTTGAAAGTTACAATTTTCCCTTGTGAACAACATTCATAAACAGACGAATGATTGATCTAATTCATATTTTAAATTTCTACTAAACATATTCAAAGAAATAATTTTTTTCATATTTGTATTTTGTCTTATCATAGAACTTTTTTATGTCGGTTAATATGATTCATATTTGAAGTCATATAGTTAACATGTATATTTTCTTGCAATCGGAAAACCAAAACAAAAAATAACAAAAGAAGTTTATCTTTTTTTAAATTTTTTCTTCTTTCTTGAAGTGCGATCATCATCACTATCATCAATTGATAAAGTTCCTTGTTGATGTCTTTTTGAACGATCTTTTGGATTATTGATCGTTTTCTTGGGTTTCCTGTCATCTGTTTTGGATTTTGGTTTAGCCTTTTCTTCCTTTGGTTCTTCTTTATTTTCTTCATTTTCTTTTTCTCCAACAGTACCGGTTTGAGCTTTCCTATAAACAAAAAAAAATCAACTCTTGGTAATCAATCGTTCTTCAAATAGCTATAATTTTCACTAAAATATATTTCTTTTGAAAAGTTTACATTACTTTTCATCATTTTCTTGTTTAGCTGGATCTTCTGGTGGTGATACAAAATGTGGTAGTTTTCCACGTTGATAATCATTTAAAACCATTTTTGCAACTGTTTGCATATCAGGTTCAGCACCTTTTAATAATTTTCCATATTTTCTTGCTAATTTTTCTAAAAATTCTTCAGCATTTGAATATTCATCAATTCCATATGTTTTAAGTATATATTCTTTTTTAACTCGGTTTAATAATTCATCAATATATTGATCTGGTTGTGGAACATTTTCAACACGAACAACACCTTTAAGAACAATATCTGTTTCTGTATCTTCAGCTGGATAAACAATTCCCGGGCAATCAATAAGAAATATACGTTTCATTAATGTTATATATTGCCAAACTTTTGTTTCACCGGCAATTGGAGCAACATTACATACCTACAAAAAGTAAACAAGATAAGTTAGAGGATTTTTGTTTTTTCCTACTTTTTCTGCACGTAATGCATTAATCACAGATGATTTACCTACATTTGGATATCTAAAAATAATATGGGTTAAATTAGAAAGATACTATAAAACAAAAATATGATTTTACCCAATAAAACCAACTGAAATTTGTTTTTTATCTTGATGTAAACGAGAAAATTGTCGTAATAATTGTATTAATGCTTGTTTACCAAATGATTTTCTCATATTAGCATGAAATGCAAGTGTTGGATAAGAACGAGAAAGTATAGCTACCCATCTTTGTGTAACCCATACAGGTACTAAGTCACATTTATTTAAAACGAATATTAAATGTTTAAAAGCTTTTTCTTTTTTCAAATAAGCTTCAACTTGATGACAACGTGTACCTTCAGGATTTCGTGCATCTAATACTTGAATAACAACATCCGATGAATCAATAACCTAGAGAAAACGAAATATAGATTTCAAACTTTTTTTTAAATTCAATTTTATTACTTTATAAAGTTCATTCCATATACGTTTACTTTGTCCAGCTTTAAATAATGGATTCATTGTTTCTGGTTTAACACCATCATGTTCTCGCATGAGATCGAGATCTTTTTCTTGATCATATTCAGTATGTCTTTGTTCAATATTAGCCATTAATGCTTCCATATCATCACCACCAGTAATATTTGCTGGTCGTTTTCGTTGTGCCTTCGGTCCAAATGTTGTTTTATATGATTCTACATCAAGTATATGAACACGTTTTTGTATACCTTTTTCATTCAATAATGTAACTGGTAATTGTGTTTGTTTCATAACAACTTGATATGGATCAGCAAGTGTTGTTGATAAAGCCGATTGAAATTTTTGTAAAGCTGATTGTGTAACAACACGACTATTATTAAACCATTGACGATTAGGTGCAACACGTGCTTGAGTACCGGATGGAAGACGTTCTTGATAAAGTGCCGCTTGAACAATTCGTCCTGATGGATCACGTTTAGGTTTTCCACCACGATACATTTGTAATCGTTTAACAGTTGATTTTGAACGAACTTTAGCTCCATGAACAGAAGTTGTTGCATTTTTTGATGATGTACGATTTTTTAATGATAAAGAATGTCCTGTTGATGGTCCTTTGCTGGATGATGCTGATGGTGTTGTTTTTTTAGTCTTTCGTCCTTTATTTTTCGACATGATGAAAATTATCTAAAACTAAATTTTAAAATTATAATATTTTATAACTACATTTGATTAAGTAATTTCTACGAATGTAAAACGTAGATCGAAAAGAGTCTAATAGATGTTTATTGGTGTATTAGTCTGTTTGTGGAAGAACGACGAGAATAAAATCGTTATAGATGGCAGTATAAGACATCTTATAGTTATCTATATCTTCAATCGTGTATGAAATCAATCTAAAAGGTATTAACTAAATGTGTTCTAATAACTGGATGCATTCTCACTGAATAAGATAAATTCACATTTTAATTCAAGAAATATAGTTCGTTGTATTTTATTTTAAAAAAATGATAATCTTTAAATATAACAAAATATTTCAGAAAAAAAAAACTGTTAAGTTAAAAAATTAAAAGTCTTTGTGATGTTTGATTTGAATAGCTGTAAGATTATATAAATAAATATGAGATTATAACTTGAGTATATATATATATTTATATTAAATTTGGAATTAATAGATCATAACTTACAAATTGTCTTCCTTCATGATGTTTTTTTCCACTTTCTAACCATAAACGAATTTTTAATGTTTGTGTTCCTACTTGTGTTTGTTCAACTTGTTCAATATCTGAGCATGCAAATCCGTGATTATGTTGATGTATTGGTGCTTGAGAACCTCCACGACCGTCACGTTTAGATGTTGGTCCTAATTCAATAACCGGAGAAGTTTTATTTTTCGATGTAAAACAACGACGAAAACATCCATCATGTTTAACAACTGTATGAATAGATGGATCTATTTCATCACATTGTTCAAAATAACACCAATTCCGATTGGGAAGAATTTTTCTATGTCTTAATTTTCTACCAGTTTCAGGTTCACGTAGAAAAAAATCAATTAATTCTTCTTCTGTATTTTGAATTGGGTACCATTTTGTTTTCATAAGATGAGCAACATATATAGCTGCTTTAGGTGGAGGAAGATTTACAATAGCAGATGAAATAATTTGATACATTAATTTACTATCATATATAGGAGCCATATCATTTTTTGTATGATTTTTAAAACGACTAATACCACAACAATGTACGTCACCACTAAAAAATGTTATTCGTACTTTTCTCTTTTGTGCAAAGTCTTGAAAACGTTTCAATGCATTATTACGTTCATCAATATGTGCTTCATGTGTCCATTCATCAAGAAGATCATCATAGAGTTCAGGTAAACCAAATATTGAATTCGTTTGTTTAACAAGTGGAAGTTGTCGACATCTATTTGATCGATTTTTTAAATGTTCAAAACAACTTTCAGCTAATTTAAAACGAAGATATGAAAATGGTACAGGAAATACAACAATTAAATGTGGAATATTTCTAATATCTTGTTCTAATCTTTTAAAAATCATATCCCATGTTCGAGGATGTTGAACTGTTTCTACATTACGTTCTGTACGTGCATCAGCACCAAGTATAGCCAAGTTGGGTCCGCAATGTGTAAGAAAATTATAACCTTGATATCCAAATAAACCATGATCACGTGCTTTTTCTATTGTTGTATGATGTTGAAATAATAATCTCATTTTTTGTGCAGTTTGAAATAAACCTGACATCATTGGACTATCATGAAGTAATGGTGGATATGATCCTGCACCATCAAATATATCATGATCATCCCACATCATTATACTTGGTATTGATGCTAATGCATTTTTCACTTCTGGACGTTCCCAATTTTCAACATAAGTATTAAAATGATATTGTTCTATTTGTTCTTTTAAATCATCACGAAAATCACATGTCCATTTTTTATTCCATTCCATATCGACCCAATCTTTTAAAAATGGTACATCTTCAAATATATAATCTATATAAGTTTGATCTCCACCCCATATTAAAAGATGAAATGGAATTTCAGCATGAACTGAATTAAGATGTTCCCATACATTATCAAATGTAAGTTCTGATTTTGCTTGTTCAGATACAGTAGCATCGAAACCATTACATGAAAAAAAACCTCCACGCCATTTTTGATTATAACGAGCAATATGAAATAAACCAACTGTTTTATAATCACCCCAATCTATTTTCCAACCAATTTCATCATCACCTTCACCATTACGTAATTCAATAGATATATTAATTCGATATATTCGCATATTAAATAAATTATCATATAATATTTCCCAAGTATGTTCTAATTTTGGTTGAGAAAAAAATTCGATTTTTGGACGTTCAAATGATATTTCACGAAATATTAATGCACTTCCAAGCCATAACATTTGATTTAAATCAGTTTTTATAAAATGATAATAGGGTCCGAGTGCAGGTCCAGGATTTCTTGGTGGACGATTAATAGATGGTGCTTTAGCAGGTGTATCATTAGATGGAAGAGGCATATCCTTTATTTTTGTTGTAGTTGGTTTAGGAATTGGATAATCAGTATTACTTTGAGGATTCGGATTGACAGGATTAGGAGCATCTGCATATAAATCACCGCTTTTATCGACAGCACCAATTTCATGTTCATCATACTTTTTTTTTGTAGCTTTATTTGACATTCTAATATAAATATTTGATGTCAATAATTGATACAAGTGTTCTATAATGAAAATAAAAATATTATACAAGTCATGACGTCAATTATAAAATCAGAATTAAATCTATTGTCAAAATTGACAATATATAATAAACTGTTGCAACGAAAACTAACTTTTTGAAATATTCTACATTATCATTGAGAAAATTTTTATTTGAAAATTCTTAGAAAAAAAACGAAGATCTACTATACTTTCTAGATAAAAATATAATTGGGTAAAATTTGAGAAAAAATTTTCATATAATCTCAAAATAAGTTTTGTTCAAAACATATCAAACAGATACAGTAGAATATATTAAATACCTACCTATACAATATCAATAAATAAATATATCAACGATCTCGTTTTTTCTTTCAAACGAATGAATCAATAGAAATCTTATTTTGCTAATACAAAAGCCATACAGGTTGCCACTCTCATGTAGTAGTCGTAATATTTGTTTTTTTTTCTTATTATTTGATTTGTACGCAACCTTAAACGCACATGCTTCCGTTCACCTCTTTTTTTTTTGTAAGTTGACGTTACTAAGAGAACGATTACAAAACATATATAAACGTCACCGATGGTTTACCTTGATATAATGATCACGTAATACTGATTATATATAATTACGGCACGCCATTTTACTTCTCATGGTGTTACTTTGAAAAGAAATGCCATTATTTCAATTGTATCATACGTCTAGCTTATCTTTATCTAGGTTTCCTAGGTAAATTCAACGATGACAAATGACTACAATAACTCGTCATTAGTAGATGTCGTGAAAGTATACATTTTTAAGATTATAAATGTAAAATATTAATCAATTTTTCTATAAGTTGACTGAAGATGAGTCAAAGAATTATATAGAATATAATTATTTTATCATATTACTTTTCAAATGAATTGAATACTGTATTTGTTCTTAATTTTGTCTATAAAAAAAGAACAAAATTCATTATTTTGAATACTTTGAAATAGATATAATACAAAAGAATTTTATCGAATTACAACCTATCGATAATCTTTAAAGTTATGTACTGAACGTTGATTGTTAAAAATGAACGTTTTTTTTCTTTCTCGTTATGTTAAGCTTGATTCAAAATTAAAATATCTAACAAATCGTTAATCTACTAAAGAAAGAAAGACATTCTTGTTTTACCACTTGTATGTACACGTATGTAATCCAATTCAAAGTTTATATTTCATCAATTGACAAAGAAAGTATACGAATTTATTTAACGAAAAAGCGTGTCTTTTTGACATCACCGTTGAATAGAGATTTATATTGTTCTGTTTTGTTGTAAAAGATAATCGTGAATATAGTACGTATTTTTATCGAATTCATATTCAATAGTTTAGACATTATTACCATACTAACCCTTATTCTAAGAGAAAAATCTTTTGTTCTTTTGATCTGTACGTTAGATATATGAGAAAATACTTCTTACAGGTACTTGTAGCTAATCCAGAATATCTAATAAAAAATGTATAACTATAAAACTTTTCCGTAAGAACAATTATCATATCTTTGTAAAAATGACTGATTAAACCATAAACGTGAAGTCTTATTAATTTTGTAAATCAATTAAAGTAAAACTTTTACATACAAACATTGCGATAAAATAATCATGTCGAAAATAACGGAAATTCTACAGTTATTATAATTTATTTATTTTCATATATTTAGCTCCGAATTAATACAAACGAAATGAATATGAAACTTTATTTTCTATTCATTTTGCAATTTATATCATGTTTTTCGTTTCCAACAAAGCCAAAACTAACACTGGATGAATATTTTGATTCGACTATGTATACATCATTAAGTTGGTCACCATCGGGGCAATATTTGCTGATTCAAGCAATTCATCCATCATGGAATGATAGTCGTTTCGAGAATATTCTCTGGATTTATAATATTAAACAACAACAAAAAACAATTATTACAAGAAATCTTCATAAAGCTTTCAAGCCACAATGGTCACCCAATGGCCAATGGATTGCATTATTACTCGATGAATCACCAGCAAATTCATCAGATCAAAATCAATATCAACGATCAATGAATAACTACCCACAAACAGAACAATATATTTATCTATATTCTCTTTCAACTAATGATTTATTACCTGTTCAAATAGGAAAAGATATTCCATTAGCATTTACATGGTCAAATACTGATTTATCACTTTATTTAGCTACAATTAATACACAAATAACGATGGAAAATATTAATGATATGCATAATGAAGAATTGAGAGATGTAATTCATTATCGACAGAATGAAATGTATGGACAAAGTTCAATCTATCGTATTGTTATTGATGAACATAAAAATTTGTTATCTGTAAAAAGAAATCTTATCAAAAATGTGTCATTTCTAGTTGGTGAACTGTTATTTGTTCCATCACAAGGCAAACTTTTAATTACATCTGTATCACCACTCATTGAATCACTTGAAGTATTTGAAATATACTCAATCGATCTTCGAAATACAGCATTATTACCAATTAGATTAACAGATGATGAAGCAATTCAGAGTGATTTAAAATTATCAATAGATGGTACACATATCCTATTTCTATCAAGGAGTTTAGGCTCTGGTAGAAAGAAATTTAATGATACACAAGCACGTCTTTATTCAATGAATTTAATTGATAGACAAACTACACGATTAGCACAAAGTTTCTATGGTAATATTAATACCTATGCTATCACCTCTCATGGTAGTCTCTATATTCTTGGACAACTAGGAACTGAAGTTCAGATCTATTCACAAGAATCGTTATCAAGTGATTTAATATTACATTCTGGATGGAATGGAACATATGGATCAATTACAGTTTCAAATCAAAATAATTTCATTGCATTTATCTATTCTTCAACTCAAAATCCAATGGAAGTTTATATAACTAAACATATGGACGAACTTCGATCAGCACAAGCTATTACAAATGAAAATAAACTGTTTACTCAACGAAGTTTACCTCAATCAAAAGCTTATCAATGGAAAAATGAAGATGATCATCAGATGATTGAAGGATTGTTACATTATCCACCTGGAAAGTTTCAAACAAAAAATCTCCCACTCCTAGTTCTTATTCATGGTGGTCCATATGAAGGAAATACGAATTCTTTTGCTCCAGACTGGCTTAGTTGGGCACCTTTAGCTGCTACAGAAGGTTGGTTAGTTCTAGAACCAAACTACCGTGGATCAGTAGGATATGGTGATAAGTTTATGAGTGATCTTCGTTATCGACCTTTATCATTGCCAGGAAGAGATATCTTATACGGTGTTGATCAGTTAATTCGTGATGGTATTGCTGATCCACTAAGAGTCAGTATTGGTGGTCACAGTTTTGGTGGTTTTCTTACAAACTGGTTGATTACACAAACAAAACGATTTAATGCTGCTTTATCAAGTGCTGGTACTATTGAACTGACTTCGTCATGGGGAGCTATGAATTTACCTGCACTCCTTACTTATTTAATGGGTGGTTTTCCATGGGAAGTTCCACATATATACCAAAATGAATCTCCAATGTATCAATTAGATCGAGTTCGAACACCAACTCTTATAACTACGGGTGAAAATGATGTACGCGTATCTACGAGTCAAAGTTATATGTTAGAACGTGGACTTTTCTATCGAGGAGTACCAGTTAAACTGATTACTTTTCCAAATGAAGGACATGCTTTGACCAATAATCCTTGGCATGGAAAGATAAAAGTACGAGAAGAACTGAAATGGTTAAAAAAATATGGTAATCAATCATAAGACTTAGGTAACAACAAACTTAAATTTTTTTTTATAACATTATATGTAGCTCTGAATATTTATAACACTAAAATATATTTATTTATCGAACTAAGTTTCGATGCAAATCTATTATGTTTAAATATTAATATACTGACAAAGTCACACATTAATGTCAAGACTAGAAGTATCATTGTACTATAATTCTGAATTTTATGTATGAATTTTAAAGATGAACATATGAAAGGAATCAAGTCTTTTATGCCTAGTTCGCTTTTTTTCTTTTGATGCAGTTTCAGATTTTACTTCTTGTATTTTGTTAGATAGTAAGAAATGATGTATATATGAGTGGCAATTTAAGGATTAAACATATTAATCTCATTGGATTTACAATTACATGCAAAATATTTGATTTATCGCTAGTCTAGATGGGATGTTATTTCCAGGTAAAAACAAAATCAGCTATCAGATATATATATATATTCAAGTTCGATGAACTTTGCATTTGAAGTCAACAAACTTCTAATGTAAAAAATTTTGGTATTAAATCTCTCAGATCTTGTCAATAGTATTGCAACAGAAGAAACGTTTATATCTTTTCTATATTAATACCTTCGCAAAAGATACTTGAGATTAAATTTGACATAAGCACAATTATATATCAACGACATAGAAAAGAAAAATATTCGATGAAAGTAAAATAATATGCAGTATTAAATGTCAATAAACATCATATGATAATCTTCTCGAAAGATTGTATCTAACATTTCATCATTCTATGCTTGCTATAGAAGAATAGATTAATCCATATACAAACCACAGTAATAATACTTCAAATAATATCAGTTAGTTGTTGTCATCAAAAAGTTGGTCACATTTTACAAAAACAATGATATTTACAGACATATACAAGAATTTCTATCTTCTTCAGCAATAATTCAATCACACTTTTTTCATTTAGACTATAATATTAAGGATGTTGACAGTTTGTATAATATTGTATTTATTATCCTATATTCAAGGAGTTTCTAGTTCTACAACACAAACAAAACCAAAACTAACACTCGATGAATGTTTCGAGTACACTACGTTTCCATTTATACGTTTCTCACCTGATGGTCAATATTTGCTTTATCAAACAAAAATTCCATCATGGAATAGTAATGATTTTCAGAATATCCTATGGATTTATAATATTAAACAACAAAAAAAGACAATTATTACAAGAAATCTGCATAAGTCTATCAAACCACAATGGTCACCCAATGGTCAATGGATTGCATTATTTCTCAATAAATTACCAGCAAATTCATCAGTTCACAATCAATATCAACGATCAATGAATAACTATCCACAAACAGAACAATACATTTATCTATATTCTCTTTCAACTAATGATTTATTACCTGTTCAAATAGGAAAAGATATTCCCTTAGCATTTACATGGTCAAATACTGATTTATCACTTTATTTAGCTACAATTAATACACAAATAACGATGGACAATAATAACGATATGAATAACGAAGAATGGAAAGATGTTATTCAATATCGACAAAATAAAATATATGAACAAAGTTCAATCTATCGTATTGTTATTGACGAACATAATTATGTATCACCTACAAAAAGGAGTCTTGTTAAAAATGTATCGTTTCTCGTTGGTGAACTGTTATTTGTTCCATTACAAAGCAAACTTTTAATTACATCAGTATCACCAATCATTGAATCACTTGAAGTATTCGAAATATACTCAATCGATCTTCGAGATATAGTATCATCACCAGTTAGATTAACCGACGATGAAAGCTTAGAAAGTGGATTGAGATTATCAATAGATGGTACACATGTCCTGTTTCTATCAAGGAGTTTAGGTTCTGGTAGAAAGAAATTTAATGATACACAAGCACGTCTTTATTCAATGAATTTAATTGATGGACAAACTACACGATTAGCACAAAGTTTTCATGGTGATATTTATGATTATGCCCTCAACTCTTATGGTGGGCTATATATTCTTGGACAGCTTGGAACTGAAGTTCAGATCTATTCACAAGAATCGTTATCAAGTGATTTAATATTACACTCTGGATGGAATGGAACATATGAATCAATTACAGTTTCAAATCAAAATAATTTCATTGCATTTATTTATTCTTCAACTCAAAATCCAATGGAGGTTTATATAACTAAACATATGGACGAACTTCGATCAGCACAAGCTATTACAAATGAAAATAAACTATTTACTCAACGAAGTCTACCTCAATCAAAAACTTATCAATGGAAAAACGAAGATGATCATCAGATGATTGAAGGATTGTTACATTATCCACCTGGAAAGTTTCAGGCAAAAAATCTCCCACTCCTAGTTCTTATTCATGGTGGACCATATTTAGGAAGTATCAATCGTTTTCTTCCAGACTGGTATAGTTGGGCACCATTAGCTGCTACAGAAGGTTGGTTAGTTCTAGAACCAAACTATCGGGGATCATCAGGATATGGTGATAAGTTTTTGAATAATCTTCGCTATCGACCTTTATCATTGCCAGGAAGAGATATCTTATACGGAGTTGATCAGTTAATTCGTGATGGTATTGTTGATCCACTTAGGGTTAATATTGGTGGTTACAGTTATGGAAGTTATCTTACAAACTGGTTGATTACACAAACAAAACGATTTAATGCTGCTTTGTCAGGTTCTGGTGTTATAGAATTTACTTCATCATGGGGAGCTATGAATTTACCTGCACTTCTTACTTATTTAATGGGTGGTTTTCCATGGGAAGTTCCACATATATATCAAAATGAATCTCCAATGTATCAATTAGATCGAGTTCGAACACCAACTCTTATAACTACGGGTGAAAATGATTCACGAGTACCTAAAAGTCAAAGTTATATGTTAGAACGAGGACTTTATTATCGAGGAGTACCAGCTAAACTGATTACTTTTCCAAATGAAGGACATGCTTTGATCAATAATCCTTGGCATGGAAAGATAAAAGTACGAGAAGAACTGAAATGGTTAAAAAAATATGGTAATCAATCATAAGACATAGAGAACAATGAACTTAATTTTTTTTATAACATTGTCTGTAGCTCTGAATATTTATAACACTAAAATATATTTATTTATCGAACTAAGTTTCGATGCAAATCTATGTTCAAATATTAATATACTAGCAAAGTCATACATGAATGTCAAGACTAGAAGTATCGTTGTACTATAATTCTGAATTTTATGTATGAATTTTAATCCAAAGAATATTTTAATATTTTCCAACAATACACATTATACTGTTCGTCAATGTATTCCTGACAAACCAATCTAAAAATATTTAAAAAACAAATTTTAAATTCATTTTATCATCAAATTTAATCATTTTTACCAAATATTTATCAACTTCAACTATTCTAATTAGACGTTTTTCTTAAGAGATTCTACTTTAAAACCTCGATATGAATCAATGAGTAATAAAAACAACACTCATACCCTGATTTATTTTAAAATTTCAAATAAAATCTCTTATCATTGATTTCATTTTAATAAATTTATCAATTATCAATTTTTTTTCAAAGTCGAAATCAACAAACAAAATAAAATTGGAAAATGATAAAACTTGTCTGTTCGACAAAATTTATTGCAATTCAGTTTTATTATCAAATTTTTATAAAACAAATCTCAAATTTTATCAAACATAAAATCTTCTTTCCGAATAATTTTTATTTTAATTTAATTCAAATTAAAAAATGTTTTGTTTTCCTTTCTTCTGTAAGTATTTGACAAAAATCAATAAGAGGTAAAGAATTTAAGATTTATCTATTGAAATTTTTTAATCAAAATTATCAAATAAATTCAATTTCGAAGAAAAGAAACCAAAAAGATTTTTGTTCCTTGTTTTATTACCAAAATCTATTCCATTTTTTAGTAATTCTCAACAATAAAACTTCACTTTTTCTTTCATTTTTATTTCTCGGTTTTTATTCAACAAAAAAATTTTTTTTTTGACAAAATTAAAATTTCATTTACAATATTATTTCAAATTTTTGAACTCGATCATTTCGAGAATCAACAACATAAAGATTTCCTTCATCATCAAAAGATAAACCACGGGGCTGATCAAATTGATTTGATTCATTTCCTTCACCATTTCCACCAACAACAACTTCATCTTCTTCTTCTCGTTCACACCAACGCATTACTCGATGATTCCCCCAATCTGCTACATAGATTTGACCCAAATCATCAACAATTATTCCTGCAGGTGACGACAACTGATTGAGATTTCCTCCTTTACCATTTCCTCCAGCCACAACTTTTCCTTCTTTTGCATCTTTTCTCCATTTCATTACACGATGATTGTCTTGGTCTGATACATAAACAGATTGTTCTTCATCAACAAAGATAAAAGTAGGATGATTGAGTTGATTGAGTCTATTGCCTTCTTCATTTCCACCTGCTACTACAATTCCTTCGTTGTTGTATTCACCCATTTTCCATCGTCTCACTTCATTCTTATGATAATCAGAAACATAAAGAAACCCATATTTATCCATTGCTTAGCCATAACAGCCAATATTCGGAATGAGAATTTGTCGATTTCGATTAATCCATTGAATCACTCGGCTGTTACACCAATCGGCAATGATGATCGAATGATTTTGTTGATCAACAATCACATCTGTTGGATATTTCAACTGATTCATTCGATTTGCTAGCCTATTTCCACCTGCAATAATTTGTCCTTTCTTTGCATTATATTTCCATTCAACAATACGATCATTCCCAAGATCAGCAATGAAAATATTTTTCTTTTTGTCAATAAAGATTCCATAAGGAAAATTGAATCGATTTAATTTCTTTCCTTTTCCATTTCCACCAGCCACAGTGATGCCATTTTGTTTCCATTTGTTAAATTTTGATACTAGCAAATGATGTAAAAAAAAGATTTTGATGAAAAGAAGGAGAAAGTTTGTTTTTTATTGAACAAGAAAGAAAAGACTAATTTTGAATGAAATGTTGATAAATATGTTTAATAAAAAGACAAATTTTATTTAATTTTTTGTATCTTTTCAAACTCTGAAGAAAAATTAATTTTTTAATTTGATATTATTTCATATCTTATCATTCTTTTCTTTTACATACAAGTCAACTGAATTTTCTATTTATAATAATACTATTGTTATTGATTTCATCCATAATATTCTCAATTGTTTTTCTCTTCTTCATCATTAGTTTTCATTGTATTACAATTTTTAAGTATAATTTTATCGAAGATTAGTATGTTTCTTTAAGAAGTTATCTCTTAAAAACTTACTTTTTGTTGAAATAATTGAAATATCATTAATACACGGTTGTGAGTTTTGTTGAATAGAAATATTTGACGGATTATTTAATTCTTCTGTAATTTTCCTCAGTTGATTTCTTAAATAGTTTAAATTAATTTCATTAAAATCATTTTCTTTGTGAAGTTGTTGTATTTGTCTATTTAAGTCATTGAATTTCATTTCAATAGCATTAATAAATGTTCGTAAAAATTCAATGATAATTTCTCTACAATCTTGGGCTTTTTGTTGAACTTTTTCGATTGAATTTGTTTCCCATTGATCGATTTGTTTTATTAAGGGATGATTTTGTGGATTTTGTTTTTGTTCATTTATTCTTTGTTTAAATTCATTATAACCATGGCTAATATGATTTAATTCATCAATTAATCTTTGTTGATGTTCTGGTATATGTGTAGAACAAAATCTTTTTGAACATCCCTCACAAGTATATGTATTGTTTTCTCGATCACATGTATGACATTTTCTTTTATTGTTAGCCATTGCCATGTGTTTGAGTAAAAGTCTATATAAAAATGAATATCCATTTATTTACTTTTTTAAATATAAACTTAAGAAAGTATGCATGTACACACGTATGTATGGCTAGTCGACTATGTACATACACGTGAATGTGACTGACTAACTATTTACACATCTAGGTATAACCATTTTACTAGCAAATATAAACTAAATGTTTTATTTTTTTAATAATTTCATTTAACTCTGTATCATGTACATTATATTTTAAAATAAAACTCATAACTTAATCGAGTTGATTATTGATCATGAAAACAATTGCATTAAAATGGTGAAATAGATCTTATTTTTTATATATTTCCTCAACTGGGAATATATTCGTTCCATTATTATTATCCCTTTTAAACTTCTCTTTAATTAATCGTAATTAGTATTTAATTAATAGCTTTATTATTTCATCGATATATAAAAAATATACGATTGAACAACGCCTGTACTTTATATAAAAGAGACGTACAGTTTGTATTCATTAAATTGATTCTTGTAAAATAATATGCTCCTTTAACAGCATTGTTACAATGTGAATCATCCATGTTGGATATTTCTCTTTCTTCTATTCTATATATCGTACAGATGACAAATACGATGTATACATATATGTATCTATTTCTTTTCTTTTCTCAATCTTCAAGTCTTTTTCGTTCATTTATTTTCCATGCAATGTTCTTCTATACTATTTCACATGTAGCTCTCATTAGAGTAAATATTAGTTAACTAAGCAATTAACAAACTTCTTATTGATACATCTTCAGTGATTAGTTAGGGATGAAAGTGAGTGAACGAATTTTCACCAATTAAAGATAGTCGTAGTAGAAAATAACCCTATTTCGTGTTTTCATATGGAAATCATCGTTCTTCGTTACTTTTTAATTACCTGAACAGTTAATGCATCAATTTGTAAATTCTTGCATGAATTATTTTCAACTAGCAAATTGCTTTGTAAAGAAAACATCCTTAGATTTACGTATGCTAACAATATGGACTTTTATGCTAGTAGATGCAGAGAATGAATAAGATAGACTTTCGAATGTAATCTTATCTTCGTATAAAAATAATTTCTTCTTACATATTATTTATTTATTAGTTTTTGTAGATTTCTTTATCATAACTTAAATATCATGATGTTTGAAACACAGAACTACGAAGTTACTAAAGGTATTAATTATGAATATGTTTACATGAAGAGAAATGATGATTCTAAACCGACTTTATTATTTCTTCATGGTTTTCCATCATCATTCTATTGTTGGCGTCATCAAATTAATTATTTTTCTAAACAAGGATATGGATGTTTAGCACCAAATTTAATGGGTTATGGTAAAACATATTCTCCATTGGATGAACATGAATATAAAGCAAAATCAATGGTTCAACATCTTATAAGTCTTCTCGATCATTTAAATTTAACTAAAGTCATTGTTCTTGGACATGATTGGGGTGTTCGACCAGCAACACGATTTGTTCTATACCATCCTGAACGTACATTAGGTCTTATTCTATTTAATGTTGGTTATGAACCACCAGCAAAACGAGATGTCGAAAAAGTATTACAATTTACCAGGGAAACCTTTGGTTATGAACTCTTCGGTTATTGGGAATTTATTAATTCTGATGATGCAGCAAAAATTTTCGAAGAGAATGCAGATGGAGCTCTTGATATTTGGTATTCAAGTGATCCAACATTATGGAAAACAGATCTTGCACCACTTGGTAGACTTCGAGAATGGATGACAAAGAAAAAAAGAACAAATCGAGCGTCATATTTAACGGATAAAGATTATGAAATAGTACGTCAAGTTATCACTGAAGGCGTACAATCAAAGTTAAATTGGTACAAATCATTTATTGTTAATATTGATTGGGATGACGAAAAAGATCTTGATCCAACAATAAAACGACCAGTTCTTTATGTTGCAGGAACAAAAGATTATATATTAGTTCCACAATTCTTTGCTAATCAAAAACAGCATATCCCTAATTTAGAAACAATTGAATTAAATACAAGCCATTGGACGATGGAAGAAAAACCAGAAGATGTTAATCAAATAGTAGAAAAATGGATTGAAAAAATCGTTTAATTTTTCTAATTATTTTAATAGATAGTTATAAACATTTTAAAATAAAATAAAAATGATCAACAAATTCAGTTTCATATAATATGATATCATCCAACTTATAAGGAAATAGTCGTAGGTGTTGGAAAGATGTGGGCGCTACATAAATACAGTATCCACACCCACACTCTCAGATCTGCATACGGCTTTGTTTTGAAGTTCTTGTTTGAGGAGATGCGAGTGTGAGTAAATGTCGAATATAACAGTTTCACACTACTCTCAAAGTAGCACAAAGAGATTATGAATGAAAGATAAATAAAACGCTTTCATATATCCACCATGCCAATCGAATCAAACTATCTGTTTCTTCCGTCGAGACTAGGTTGTTGCTTGTCACTTCAATCTATGTGTCTCAAATGTGAAAGTATGAGTGTCGATATATAGTGCTAAAAATAGTTACAGATCGATGACTGATACTTGGTTTAAAGATGTATTTCTTCATAAAATCAAGTGCACTTTGACAAGACAATAGATTCTATTAATAAAAAATTACACATCTCTCTTGCGTTTTGTCGCCTAACTAGACGAATTATCCTATACAGTATTTCTCTTTTCTTATCTTCCACAAAATTTCAACTAAAGATGATCAATTGAGCATTTATCTATTGAAATATTTGAATCAAAATTATCAAATTGAATTGAGTTTTGCAGGAAAATAATAAATACTTTCTTTCAAAGTTTCAACCGAAATTAATTTATTTTTGAACCTAATGCAAATGAAATTTCTTTAATCAAAAATTTCTTTTCAGATCTTATTAGATTTTTTCGTTGATCTTCAACAATAAAACTTCATTTTTATTTCTCGATTTTTATTCAGTAAAAAATTTCATTTAGAGAACTATTTCAAATTTTTGAATTCGATGATTTAACCAATCAGCAACATAAAGATTTCCGTCATCATCAAAAGATAAACCTGTGGGACTATTCAATTGATTTGATTCATTTCCTTTACCATTTTCACCAACAATAACCTCACCTTCTTCTTTTTCTTCACACCAACGCATTATTCGATGATTCCCATTATCTGCCACATAGATTTGACCCAAATCATGAACAAATATCCCTTGAGGTGAAAACAATTGATTGAGATTTCTTCCTTGACCATTTCCTCCAGCTACAATTGTTCCTTCTTTTGCATCTTTTCTCCATTTCATTACACGATGATTGTTGCAATCTGATACATAAACAGATTGATCTTCATCAACAAACATAAAAGTAGGACAATTAAGTTGATTGAGTTGATGTCCTTTTTCATTTCCACCTGCCACTACAATTCCTTCGTTGTTGTATTCACCCATTTTCCATCGTTTCACTTCATTCTTCTTCCAATCTGAAACATAAAGAAATCCATGTTTATCCATTGCCAAGCCATAACAAACAATATTTTGAATGAGAATTTGTTGCTTTTCACCCACCCATTGAACCACACGGCTGTTCTTAAAATCAGCAATGATGATCGAATGGTTTTGTTGATCAACAATCATATCTGTTGGATAATTCAATTGGTTCATTCGATTTCCTTGTTCATTTGAATCTGCAATAATTTGTCCTTCTTTTGCATTATGTTTCCATTCAACAATACGGTGATTGAAAAAATCAGCAATGAAAATATTTTTCTTTTTATCAATAAAGATTGCCAAAGGGTGATCGAGTTGATTTATTTCCTGTCCTTCTCCATTTCCACCAGCCACAGTGATGCCATTTTGTTTCCATTTGTTGGATTTTGATTCTAAAAAAGGATGAAAATAAAAGATTAATATACAATGAAACGTTGATTTTGTTTTTTTGTGAAATTTGAATTCTGAATGAACTACTGTTTAAATTATTTGAAGTTTTGTATTTGGAAAATAAAAATAAATTCGTCTTCTAATAAGAATTTAAATAAAATAAATGTTTCGGTGTTTTTTTGAATAAAAGCTATTAAAATGACACAAAGAGATATTTTATTTAATAAGAAAAAAGAGTTTAAAAGCATGTAAGAGTTTATTCGTTTATAAATCGATTCAACAATAAAATATCTTCAAATCTTCTAGTCAAAACAACTTTTTCTTCTAAAGATATTCAAGTGTTGAGAAGTATTCATATAAAACAAAGAATATTACAAATATCTCATGACGAAAGCATTATTTGCAACGGACCATTTCAGAGTATTTGACTTTAATGAATTAATCTATCATTTGTAAGCAAATTTTCAGATTAAATTATTTCTTAAAAACTTACTTGTTACTGAAATAATCGAAATTTCATTCATAAATGTTTGTGAGTTTTGTTGAATAGAAATATTTGATGGATCATTCAATTCTTCTGTAATTTTTCTTAGTTGATTTGTTAAGTAGTTTAAATTAATTTCATTAAAATCATTTTCTTTATGAAATTGTTTTATTTGTTCACTTAAATCATTAAATTTCATTTCAATATCATTAATAAATCTTTGTGACGATTTAATGACAACTTCTCTATAATCTTGTGCTTTTAGTTGAATTTGTTCAATTGAATTCACTTCCCATTGATCGATTTGTTTTATTAAGGGATGATTTTGTTTTTGTTCATTTATTCTTTGTTTAAATTCATTATATCCATTGGTGATAATATGTAATTCATCATGTAATAATTGTTTATGTTCTGCTAAATCCACAAAACAAAATCTTTGTGAACATCCTTCACAAGAATATGTTATTTTTTCTTTATTACATTTGAAACATTGTGTTTTGTTACTTGCCATTGTCATGTGTTTGAATAGAAGTTGGCAGAAGAAATGAATATAGCCTTATTTATTTTTAGAAATATAAAATAAATGACTCAATGATCATAAAAACATGGCTTGGCATTAGGCGAAATTGGGAAAGAATTTTTTTATGACAAAATCCCATTGATAAAATTGATGTGATACCTAAGATAGTTGTGTTATCGCTTCTTTTGTTCTTTATTCTTCCTCTTTCATAAAACAAGAACCATCCTTCCCTTCACAATATTCACTCCTTAAATACTCGCAACGATATCAGTAGTACGTGAGAAAATGAAAGAGAATCACCATTTTATATGACAAGAGATATATCATGCCATAAGAAGTCAGACTAAAACTAGATATTAATTTGTTTCTAATTTCCAATAAAAAAACAAACAATCCTTGTGATGTTTTAATGTAGATTTGGTTGTAAGTAAAGATTAAATACAGATCGGCACCTACAAGTTTATGTATCAGATGAATGGTATATCAACCTCTTATCCACTCAACTGCATTGTCATGTTCACTTTCATCATCAATATCATCACTTTTGTTCTCAAAATAGTTATTGTGTGATATTCCTTTTTCATATTATTTCAAAAAACAAATTTACCTAAATGAATCTATTTCGGTATAAATAAGAATTCCGTATGTCTCACTTTGAATTTCTGTTTTATCGATTAAATTTTTCTAACTGTTTTGGAAGAAAAACATTTGTTGTTTTGTGTTTTTTCCCAGCTATAAATTTGATTCGAAAAAGAAATCTGACAAAACATGTCAAATGAAGAAAAGAAAAATTACAAAAAATACGTTTTTATTTTTGATTAAATACATTTTTGGTATTTTATAACGAAGCAATATTGAAGAATGAAAAGTAAATAACAGGTGTGGCAGTTCTATATCAGCTCGCATGAACTGGAGCCGGATTTGATCACTATTTCCTCAGTACAGTTCGTCATAGTTCACGAGCTTGAACTGTCATATCTATAATATGTACGTATTTATATCCGATACTTGATGCTTTGGTCTATGAACTAATTCATGACAAATTTTTGAATATCATTTATCAGAATAAAAAATAAAATCTTTTTATGTACAGCTTTTCCCCTAGTTGACTAGATCTGTTATCAATTTTATCGTCATATTTATTTTTGAACATATCGGATATGATTGAGTATTACTATTAGCATTAATATATCATTTAATATCATGTAGATGTCGGTGTGAATTTGATCTATGAAGATAATACTCGCACACTCTCAATTAAATACTGATAATAATTGTAAAATAGGTTAGAATCTTAAAAAAAATCTATTTTATATCAATGATGAAATAACATATTATGATATTTATTTGCTCTCAAGAGTAATGTATATCATGAAAAGAAAAAAAA